GAGCCCGAGTGCCCAAACTGCAACACAAAATCAACTTACTTATTTCAAAGTGCCAATACTGCAATTAAAACCCGAATGCTGAGGTTTTAGTTTAGAAAAAAACAACTGCTCCTGCACTGCAAGGGTTAAATGATTGGGGTTTTTTTTTCCTGTGGGCGCTATTAACAAATAAATACTTACTGGTCCTTGAATCCTCCATTGGGCTAGACCGGTTATGGTTGCCAGTCGGAACCCCATATCTGCAGGGGATTGGTTACAAGCACCCCATGGATGCTGAAAAATGGGGATAATAATGAATACTATAATAATAACTAGCGTGGTAAAAGAGCAAAATCCAAGAATATGTATTTTCACCTATATCACCAGAACTGGCCAACCAAGGGAGCCAGAGACCATGCTATGTATTCTTAAACAATAACAATACCTAGTATGGTCTTAGGCTCCCTGTAGTGGCCAGTTTCGGTAAATAAATAAATTGTGAAAATACCTATTTCTAGTTTTTTTCTTTTTCTTTTAGTTGTTTTCAAAATTTCAGACTATCTTTTTCATGGCAAGGGCAAGAAAAAATGTCCAAAAAGAGCCGGAAAAAAAAACCCAAAGGGTCAAAGGCTGCATTGTGTGACTGTGCCAATCCTTATTTATTTATTACTTTCATTTCCCCCCCTAGCTCAGGCCTTAGGAAAGTTCCTTTTGGTCCAAATGCTGGAAGATAACTTTTTGGAGCACCAGCCTAGAATCCTGTCAGAAGGCCAACATGTGGAGATTTAACAATCAGAGCGACTGGTGACAGGGGATACATTTATAGGTCACTAATAAAAAATTATTTAAAAATCATGCAAAATGCAAGCTTTTGTGGGTGAATCACATGATCAGAGGGACTGTTGACATCATCTTCAGGACTCAGCCAATCCTGAGGGTGCTGCTGCTGCCTTGGGAACCCAACCCCACTCTTCTGGGTCTTTGTGACTTCACAGAGCCCCACCTCTCTGCTGGCAGATAAAAGGGCTTGCTGGGCATGGCAGGAGACCAGAAGGGAGGCCAGTGGGCAAAGGGCAGTCCGGCAGAGAGAGTAGCAGTGGCTGCAGGAAGCCAGCCCTTCTCCCCAAGAAGTTCTCTCACAAAAGCAGGTGAACTTGCTAAGTGGGCTTGAGAGTTAACAGCTCGAGACTGCTGGAGATCCGTGGCTTGAAGCTGGATGATGGATCGGGGGGGAAGTTGGTGGACGTCGACAGACAGAAGCTGGTGGAATCTCCCTGTGGAAGCTGGCTGAGGCCGCAAGGCGGAAGCCAGCAAAGGTTGGTGGATGAAGCCGGGGGACGTTAGCCTCCTGAAACCAGCTGGTGGAAGCTCGGTGGATTTCGATGGATGGAAGCCCAGGCGTGTGTGTGCAGGCATTCCATGGGGATGTTGCCGGGGCGTGTGTGTGTGACCAAAGCATTTGGGAGCTGGCGGAGGCTGGCTTCAGAAGCGGAGTGGAAGAGATGAATGGGTGAATATTCCTGTTGGAAGCCAGTGGATGTTGGCAGGTGGAACTTTGGAAGTTGCCAGAACATTGGTTGGTGGATATACCTGGGTTGAAGCCGGCTGACCGCAGTGGACGAGCTCACCCTTTAGTTATTTTTTTCTCTCTCTTTCTTTCTCTTGCAGGGCCCGAAGCTTCCTCTTCCCCAGGGGGATGCGAGGGACCAGAAGGCAGGCATCCTGCTGGAGCTAAACCAGGCCGATATCTCCGCTGAGGATACCCGTTTAGGCTCTTTTCCAAAACCAATAAAAGAATGGTTTCGAAATGTTGTCTTGTTTGTCAGTGGCTGTCACGGGGTTATCTTCCCCATCCCCTCATTATATCTGTGGCCCAATGCCTGGGGTGGGTCTTTATCAAGTCATGGTGTGAGGCCTTGTGATGTCACAGGAATTGGGAACATAATAT